ATACATTTTCAGGATTTATTTATGTGAATCCTGAAAATTAATTAATATTGCTCTGTACTTATTTGTGTAATTACACTGTAACAAGGACACATTAAAATAAAGTTTAACCCCATTCTGCAATGTGGGTTATTGCTTTTGTATTGCTGTATTGTATTAATACAAACTGTTATGAAATAGGTGAAACTATTAGAATATAGGTTAATTGAAATAGGTGAAAAAAAAATAGAAATAGAAATTTTGCCTTGGCAAATAATGGAAATAGGTTTAAGTTAAAAATAATAATAAAAATACTGAAAATAAACTGGAAAATGTAAGTAAGTAAATAAATAAAACAAAACTAATACTAAAATAAACTAAATGCCTATATATATATATATAATAGAATATAAATGGCATTCAGGGTAAATTGTTTAGGTATGTTTGTGCCATTATGGCAATGCTAAAACAACACAACATCCTGCGATAACAACACTATCAGCAGGGTGGGATTCATTCTTAGTGAACAGTGTGATATGCAGTACCTCTTTGATGAGCATCATGAAGCGGTTGCCAAAGCGCCAGGGCTTGTGACGGTTACATTGTAGTGAACTGACAGTGATTTGAGGGGACTGCTGTACGGCCACGGCCACCACATGTACCGCATCATACATCAGGGCAGCATCTGTCTGGAAAAAACACACACACACACATTCACAGGTCAATCGGCCATCAGCAGTGCACCTGAGGCTCTCTGACGATAATTAATCAAGCCTCAAAAACAGGTTAAACTCCAGTGTCATGAGCTGTGATTGGTGTATATTCAACTCAACGACCAATCACAGAGAATGAGAAAGTGTCAGAGTAGCCTTCAGCTGACTGCCACACAAACTGACAGCCCTCCATACCGGAGACCTCTCATTCCACAGACCAAAATAAAATCTAATTAGTGTTTGCCTTGGATGATTGAGAAGCAATCACAACACCTCCCAGACTGGGCCGGTATGGAAATCATGCCTGAGGGGGGCTTCAGAAATTGCTATCCTGTCAAATAAATCATTGCCATTTGAAAATTGTCATTTTCTAGCTTTTGTCTCTGATTGTCTGCCGCAAGGTTGTGGCTAAAGATGGCTCTGCCCTAATAATACTGCAACTTCACGCAAGCCTATTTGTATGTATGCAGCAAAATAAACCATAGCCGAAGATTACAGACTGCAAGAAGACCAAGAAGACCAATCTATGGTGTTAAAAGAGTAGCTAAACTCGAGAGCTTGTACATTTGAATTTGGGAACTTTTACAATAAATATCTGTTGTGCTGCTAATTTCATTGGTCAGGTATGGACCAATAAAAACTTGGTCCTGCTCTCTTGCATCTGCATTTAGAAATGGACAAGTGAGGACTGCAACATTAATATCGCAAAAGACGTAGCAAAGTCAAGTTGTAGATTTGAGAGGTTGTAAGTGTCGACTTTCGAAGCTGAAGTGCAAAAGTAAAAATGTAATACACATTTGTGTCTGTATTCTGTGTTTATGTGAATGTCATTTTTTCACATTTGTAACATTTATCTGCAACATCGAATTCAAAACATGGATGTTTTGATTGCTGTCTATTTGCAAATTTTCACATCAGATCTATGAGTGTAAACTTACAAATATGGATATGTATTGTACAAGTTCTTAAAATCAAATCTACAAGCTCTTGAGTTTCACTACTCTCTTCCTTTCATGCATAGCCACCTAAAATACTTTCTAGAAAACAAATTCCCTAATTCTCAAGCAAAACTCTACTGTATATTGAGACATATGTCCATCAGTCAATAATGTACATTTACAATATAGTATTGATCCATTGATATAGTATTGTTTTTTCCTTTTATTTGACATTTCAGTTATCTTGCAATGGCAACAAGCTCTCACCAGCTTTCAAGTTTGGGGTTGCCAGATGTCAGGAGTTCAATCCTCCAATCAGATACATTTTCCGCCTAGTGTTTTATGTAAACTTCGCAACCAGGCAACCATGCACATGTGCTCTCTCTGCTCCACCAAAAAAAAGAGCAATCTCCACTGCGATATTCAGCTCTAATGAAAGTGTAATACAGCCAGTGTTCCTTCATTACATTGTTACATGTGCTATTTGCTTTGAGCAAACCTTCTCAGTGACGTACTGTAATAAATTCAAATATGAATCCTGACTATATTGTTTGCGATTGAAATTGCCACTGTGCTTCAATACTAGTGTTAATTTTGCTTTGAGCAAACCTTCTCAGTGACGTACTGTAATAAATTCAAACATGAATCCTGACTATATTGTTTGCGATTGAAATTGCCACTGTGCTTCAATACTAGTGTTAATTGTGTCAGCTATTTTTAATTTAGTCTTAATCTGAGACTTGTGTCAAATGTAACTTTTGTTTTTTTATCTTATTTGGTCAACTTGTCCAACAAAGTTTAAGTCGACTAAATGTCTTAGCATTTTAGTCTAGTTTTAGTCAGTGGAAACTTACACATTTTCATCATATTTTTGTCTTACTGTATAATGGTTAAAATGATAAAAAATTATATATTGCAATTTTAATTGCAATGAATGTTGTTATTTGGGAAATTTATTTTTACATTTCATCAGACGTTTCTCTTTCACCACTAAGCACAAATTAATAGAATATTGACTCATGCATCGTTTATTTGACGTCATCTAGTGTACAGATTTATAACAGGATATCAATTAGAGGCTAAATAAACACCAAAGACTTTAGATATACACTCACCCTGTCTACGTTATGAAAACTGGTGTAACAAAAACCTACTCTCAAATATTATAACAGAGAAATTCCTAATAGTAATTCCAATAATTCCAAATTGCATTAATGTTTCTCTTTTAAAACAACGGCAAAAAGACTTATTGCCGCACAGAGGTTGCGTAAGTAACGTTACAATCAGCAACCACTATCGCAAACAATACAGTCGAGATCCATGACAGACCACAGACTGGCTGAATGACACTTTCATTAAAGCAGAATACCTCAAATGGACATCGCTGAACTCCAGCTTACTTGTACAGTACTATATGATGGTGTTTTCAGATAATGACGCCTCCACAGAGAGAGTGCGTGTGAATGGTTGCCAGATTGCATAAAGCAAAAAGCTGGGCAGACCCGGCAGAGTACGTATCCATTTAACAGAAAAGCTCTGATTGGGGGATTTGAACTCTTGGTATCTGGCAACCGCAAACATGAACGCTCACATAATAGAGTCTTGTACAGCAGTCTGAAATGTTTTGGCTCCACTTTTTTCAACAACAAAAAATAAATAAAAATAAAAATTGATAAAGTTTTTGTTCTTTTAACTACATTATAGTCTCGTCTTTTTTGTCAACACTATTGCATGTTAATATTGTCTCAGTTATGGTTTAATGACCTTATTATTGTCTCGTCATCGTCTCGTTTTAGTCAGGGGAAAAAAAAAAACGTTGATTAACATTTTCATCTTAGATTTCGTTGACGAAATTAACACTATACAATACAAAGTTTTTTTGTATATATATATATATATATATATAAAAATGTTAACATAACTTGGAATTAATATTAGTAATTTTGAGGAAGCTTCTTACGTTTTTTACCAGTTTCCATAAAGTTGAGAGTGTGTAAAAACAAAAATCAGGAAACTAGATGAGTTATAGTAAACCCTGTGTTTACATTCTCTTGATTTGTGTGCAAAATAATCAATGAAATGTCATAAAACGTTTTTATCCATTATCGTTCAGTGCTTGGTATTATATTTTAGTAATATGGTGTATAACAGTATATATCAGTTGTTTTGATTCTTTACAGTGTCATTTATTTGTCTCAAGCAGAGTTATCTGCTTTTGTGCTCATTACAGTTATCAAAATTGCAGTGCCAAATGTCTACAACAGGGGTCACCAAACTCGGTACTGGAAGGCCAGAGTCCTGCTTTTTGAGTTTAACTACAACCCTAATCAAACACACCTGAACCATGATCAAGGTCTTACTAGGTATAACTGAAACTTCCAGGCAGGTGTGTTGAGGAAAGTTGGAGCTAAACTCTGCAGCACAGTGACCCTTTAGGACCGAGTTTGGTGAACACTGGTCTACAAGAAGGCAAATGTTCTTTAGAAACAGACAACAAATTGTACAGTACATTACAAATCATAAGCTTCTGTATTAATGTGACGTCTGCTTCACAAGGTAAATAGCTTTTAGGGTCCATCTTCTTTATGCCAAACTCTCAGGCATTGTCGCATGTATCTTTCAAAATGAAGAGGGAAAATATTGTGTTGTTAACAACATGCTAACATCAAATTCTGCTGGAATCAATAGAGTTGCCTGTGTGATTTGTGTATGGAGTGCTATTTGAATAACACACTGATGTTCTGCCTGCAGCATTCTGAGTCAGTAATGATATGGTCTCAGAGTAAACAGCAGCTATGTAGGCATCAGACAGAGAGGAAGGGTTTGGAACAGAACCAGTTTGTCATGTTAACTTTTAAAGTGGGCCACCATGTATTTCTGAATACAAAGTTGGATATATGATGTTATTAAATGTTATTAATTCATTAAATCTATTGACTGCCCTGATTACTACACAATGCCTATCAAAATAGACATCTCATGTCCATTAATTAATTATCTAATAATTGTCTTCCCTTTCCATTAAAGGAAAGTATATTATAACCTCATAAATATTTTCTTTAAATCCTTATTTTTCAGTTAGCTTGAAATTGCACTGATGTCCCTTAAATTACAGTTTTTGCAGTGTCTGTTTTTGAAGTGAATGGGTCTTCAGTTCAAAATAAAGTAAAAAAAATAATAATAATGTTGAACCCAAAATGATCTATAATTACATTTATTGGCAACTGTCACGCCCATGGACTGTCAGTGTGTTTGTTTTCCTTCCCATGTTCTCCCCGTGGCCCAGTTTCTCCAGTGTCTGATTGTGCCCACATTTGGTTCTTCCTGTTCCTGCTCCTAGTGTGTTTTCAGGTGTGTTAATTACAGTGCCTTGCAAAAATATTCATACCCCTTCATTTTTTTCACATTTTGTTAAGTTGCTGCCTTATGCTAAACTGCTTTAAATTACTTTTTTTCCCACATCAATCTACACTCCATACACCATAATGGTAAAGTAAAAACAGAATTGTCACAACTGCGTAAATTTATTAAAAATAAAAAAACTGAAATAAGTACATTGCATAAGTATTCATACCCTTAACTAAATATTTCGCTGAAGCACCTTTACAGTCTCAAGACTTTTTTGTTTAATGCGACAAGCTTCGATCATCATTATTTGGCAATTATCTGCCATTCTTCTCCTCACCTCTTCACCTCTCAAGCTCTGTCAGGTTGGATGGGAGCAAATGCACATTTTCAAGTTTCTCCAGAATTATTTGATTGGGTTCAAGCTCATGCTCTGGCTGCGGACATTCACACTCAAGGACATTCACAGAGTTGTCTATAACCCACTCTTGCTGTGTGCTTAGGTCCATTGTCCTGTTGGAAGGTGAACCTTCTGCCCAGTCTGAGGTTCTGAATGCTCTGGACTGGGTTTTCATTAAGGCTAACTCAATATTTTGGTGCATTGAGCTTATCTTCTACTCTGACGAGTCCCTCGGTCCCTGCCACTGAAAAACAGCCCCACAGCATGAGGCTGCTACCAGCACACTTTACTTT